TGGCCTCCTGGGGCCTCCTGTGGCTTCCTGAGGCCTTCTGGAGCTTCCTGGGGCCTCTTGGAGCCTCTTGGGGCATTATGTGGTCTCTTGAGTCTTTCTGTGGCCTCCTGATGCCTCCTGGGACCTCATGTGGTCTCCTGGGGCCTCCTGGAGCCTGCTGGAGCCTCTTGTGGTATTATGAAAAGAGTCTGCGCCCACGAGCCTGGCCACCAAAACAGACAAACCTCAAAATCTGGCAAATCTGGCCCACCTGGAGGGTGAAAATGAGCGCCTCGCTCGAGGCATCCTCGAAATCTGCTCCGACAGCGAAGGATGTTGGGACAGAAATCAGGCAAACCGCTTGAGACATCCCCACAAAACGGCCGCGAACGGGACTGTGAAAACACCCCTGGCGGCTCCCCTTGGGGACGTGAAAGTGAGCGCCTCGCTCGAGACATCCTCCAAATCTGCTCCGAAAGCGAAGGATGTTGGGACAGAAAACAGGCAACCCGCTCGAGACATCCCCACAAAACGGCCGCGAACGGGACCGTGAAAACACCCGGGCATGAGTGAGTCTCAGCATGAGTAATTCTGAGTAGGAGTAGGTCTGATTATGAGTAGGCCTGAGTATGAGTAAGTTTGTGTCTGAGTAAGTCTGGGTATGAGTAAATCTGAGTGTGAATAAGTCTGGGTATGAGGAGGAGAGGGGAGGAGAAGGAGACGAAGGAGGAGAAGTCGGCGGCGTCCAAGGAATAACAAGAATCCCATCTTAGGATGTGGGGAACAACGACTCAGGATGAAAAGCCGGTCCCAGGGAAAGGGTCCAGACTGCTGGGGGTCGATGTTGTCAAAAAATCACGACGTCGGGGGTCTGGGTTCCGTTCCCTCCCCAGGGGGCCCAACGTCCAAAACCTTTAGAGACATTAGTGATTTTTGCCTCCTCGCCAAACCCGTCTTCGACGCCCCGGTTGGTCGCGAACCCCCCTGTCCATGTCCAGGGGGAGGGGGGAGGGGGAGGGGTAAATGGGTGGTGGTGGAAGAGGAGCCGCTCTAAACCGCTCACGCCCAAACGGCTGGTGGGATTAGGGTCCCAGCTGGAGTCCTAACCTGCGTCAGTCGGTTATCGTCTTTTGTCTCATCGTCCTCCTCCGCTTCCTCGTCGTCATGATGCCCAGATTTCCCTTCCTGTCGCGCACGTGTGCTATCCTATTCTCTCCTGATTCATACACCAGCCGGGCTGTTTTCCACTCTCCCATGTCAACTGGGCGAGCTCGACCGTCACCGCCGCCAAGTCTGGTGAGAGCGAGTTCGAGCTCGAACCATATGCAGCCCCTCAGCTCTCGTTTTTCTTCTCCAAGAAACTGCGTCGCAAAGGACTGGGCGATCCCCCCTCGGCCGTCCTCACACGCGTCCCATCAGTCTCCCGCGTTCGCCGACGCCGCCTGCTCCTCCACTCCGTCTGTGGTGAGCCGACTCGACGCCCTCGCACCTTGCAGGGCGCAGCCGCTTCTTGGCCGACGTGCGTGGGATGGAGGACGGGAGCATGAGTTGGAGGAAGAGGAAGCAGAACAGGAGAGAGCTGCTCAGGATGATCACGGGGCTTCCGATAATGGTGACGAGGAGTAAAGGGGTGAGGACGAGGACGAGGACGAGGACGACGACGAGGACGTCGACGACGAGGGCGAGGAGGAGGAAAAGGAGGAAGAGGAGGCGGAGGAGGAGGAGGAGGAGGAGCAGGAGGAGGAGGAGGAGGAGGAGGAGGAGGACTGTCTCGACAGAAATTCGCTGCCACGGGTGTGGCAGCTTGCACCCCTGATCTTGCGTGTGTTCCTTCTTTTCGTCCTCGCCCCCTTCGCCGTCGTCGTCCTCGTCCCACTGCTTCTCAACATCCCCAGTGACCGCGAGCTCCTCATCCTGTGGTTTTACTCCTCCGAAGCGTTCCCAAGCGCAGCGATTGGGTCTTGGCGCGCTCCCGCGGGGGAGGGGTGCGCCAGACAAGGCCTGCATGTATTCTTATACACATAACGGGGGACCGGGTCCAGGGGCCGGGGGCCGGGGCCCCGACCACAAATGTGGGGACCGGCGCTCCCGGAGCCCTGCCGGAGCGCCAGGGGCCGTCCAAGCTCGCCCGAAGATGGATTCGGAACGCTCGAAAACGCTCTCTGATGGCTCCGGATGCCTTTCAAGACGACTCCCATGACGCCAAGAAGGCCCCCGAAGGCCCCGAAGACGCCCCAAGAGGCACCCCGAGAGAGCCCCAATAAGCAAAAATCGTAGATTTCCTCTGGGAGAACTTATGTTTTTGTCGTGTTCGCCTTTTGCGCTTCCACTGCGTCCAAGACGGCCCAAGAGGCACCCAAGCCGGTCGGGGATGCCCCCAAGAGGGCCCCAAGACGGCCCACGAGGGGGCCAAGACGGCCCACGAGGCGCTCAAGCCGCCCAAGAACGCCCCAAGGCGGCGCCCAAGACGGGGACGAGGAACCGGAAATTCGCGCCTTTTGGCCGAAGAGCCCCCCAGGAGACCCAAGAGGCTCCAAGAAGCGCCCAAGAAGCCCCAAGAGGCCCCCATGAGACCTTTCGTAGCCATTTTGATTCAAGTTTTCGGATCAGTGCCCTTTGACATGGAGTGTTAGGCAGGCTGACTTTCCGCACGAGCTTGGTGCCAAGCTGCCAAGCCTATCTCCCCAATGATCGTGCCAGACTTATCCGGTATTGTCCACCAAGTGGAGCTCATTTGCATTGCGGCCTGCGCCGCTATGATGCTGGGGCGCCTGGCTTGGCAGTTGTGGACCGAGGGCGCCTCAAGGTCTTGCTTTGACGATTACTATGCTCGATTGCTCGCGTTCTCTACAGTCGTCAGGACAGCCATTCTTGGGAAAGACGGCACTCCACAATCTGTCCACAAGCGCAAGCAATCCATCAGGCTTGCCATGTCACGGAGAAGCTACCAGTTATTTTGTGTCGCAGCCGTCGGGGTAGTTTACCCGATGTTTTTCTTCTCCGCAGATGACCGCCCGCATATCGTTCCCAGGCGCTTGCATTACGCTTTCTCTGGGGTGGTAATTGTGTCAGTAAATGTGTGTCCTAGCTTGTTGACCCCATCACGACTTCATGTGTGGTATTGCTTTCTGTCACTCTCAGATGCGATTTCTCTGTCACCGCTGTTGCAGTTTGCGGAATCGGTCGGCCCCCTCAAGGTTCATGTATTGCATGATTGCTTAATGTACTGCATGATTGACTTCAGCCTTCCAGCGAACTTGTTTTGGACGACACTCTGCTATCTTTCCACTGCGTCCACAGCGCTTGCTGGCAAGTCTAATGGCATGCCGTGCCATGACCCTAAAACCACAAATGACCTGTTTCTTGATTGGATATGTGTCGTTGTTTCTTTGGTAATCTTGCACGTCGTGTTCTCAATGGTGGTCAGTACCCTCTTAGAGGGTCAAGCATGTCGGAGCGAGTTGCGCGCCGCAAAGTCGATCTTAGCAGGCGTTTGTGACGCCGTGGTCGAGCTCGATGCCAAGCTGATGCTCGTGTGGCCTTCCGAAAAGCTCGCGGCTTTGTTAATGCATAGCGAGCCTCGATCTTTGGCGGGAGTGAGTATATCGTCCTTTCTTGCCACAAAGGCCGATCGCGAAAAATTTGCCAAACAGGTAACCTCCAGTACTGCGTATGATGATTTCTGCACGGCTTTTCACGTCAAATTGCGGGACACTTGTGGCATCTCTGTGTCGGTGGAAGTTTTCTGCGTGCGCTGCAGTAGTGATGATAGAAAGGAGTCGTACCTGGTCGGCTTTCAAGAATTTGCTGACCGGGCTCCACCAAGGAGGAGGACGCACCCGAGAGTGCCGACAATGCCTAGTGCTGAAATGAAGATGGATGTTCAGAGTCGGTGTGCGTCGCACGAGATTGCACACATGTATTTTGGCACCAATTCTGAAGGGGAATCTGGCGCGTCGTCTTCTATTTCCGAGGTTGCTGTTTGGGTCGACGGTATGTCACCAGAGTTAACCATGTTGCGTTGCACCACTGCCTTCGAGATGTTAGTTGGCAGCTCTTGGGCGCAAATCTGTGCCACCCATAGTAATCTTCTGCAATGTACTCGGCCAGACCAGCGAAATGACTTGAAGTTTTGGGTTCGTCGTGCTTGCGATAGACCCGAGCTGCCAGCTGTGCACGGGGTGATTTTTCGTTTCAGTAAGCAGCATCATCGTATGCGTTTAGCCATCGAGAACACGCTGAGAGTGTCCGTGGATCTGCCAGGCGGCGAGGACTGGACTGAGGGCCCGGACCGACCTTCGTGCGTGGTGAAGCTCGTTCTCGAGATGTCCAAGTGGATCCAGGATCAGCGTTGGACCAGGCGCGTCAACGCGCCCGTGCGCTCTCACGCCCCTTTGTCAGCATGCGTCCTCGAGTCGGATGGCGCTGGCGCGGCCGCGGCGGCGGCCCCGGAGGACGCCGGCAACACCCTGACCCCTCCGCGACTCATCGACCAGGCGGCACAGTCGGTGGTAACGAGCGGGCCGCGTCTCGAGGCCCCCGCGGGCGCTGGTGCGTCTCCGCCCGAGGCTGACAGCGCCCAGAGGTCAGACAGCAAGGGGAGCCGCGCGACTGGTGGCGGGTCGATCTCGCTCTGACTTGCAGTGTTGGCTGGGGAGTGGAGGACGGGGATATGGAGGAGGAAGAGAAGGAAGACAAGGAGGACGAGGAGGAACAAAAACGGCACATTGGGCCAATCGAGGGGGCCCGCACGCCCTCACGCGAGCCTGAGAGCTTTTCGATAGAGGCGCCCGCGCCTCACCAGCCTGATTCCCCTTCCTTCCGTCTTTCTCCTCTCCCTCCCAGGCCAACTTCTCCTCCACCTCCCTGACTCTCTCCACATGGGCATTTCTCCGTTGATCTCCGCCCCGCGCTGCATGCACACTCTTGCACGGCCTGCGAGGCCTCCGACACCGCTCAGAAATTTCAGGAACATACATGATCGTGTACACTTCTCCGATTCGTTTTGCGACGTCCGGCCGCTAGCTTGGACGATGGTGATGCGAGTCGGAAGTTTCGATGCGATAATTGCGGCGTGGCTTTGCACACCCACAAGCAGCTCGCACAGCACCGCTCTGCACGCACGAAATGGGTACTGAAAGAATGGGTACAATGCCCAACAGCGGATCTGGTTCAGTTTGAACAGGGCTCGCTGTCCACGCCGCCTTTGCCTGTGTCCATTCGAGACAGGAGACCGCCTGCCCAACAGCGGCCGCTGTTGGTTCGGGACAACACTTGCTGTTGGGCATAGTACCCATTTTTTCGGTACCCATTTCGGGCGTCCAAGACCGCCAGATCAAGCACGGCTAGAAGTGCCCTCAAAGATTTTCCGCTGCTGCGAGCGGCGCCTGCCCAGTCTGCAAGACTGTCTATAGGACTCGCCTTGCCCTGCTCGGCCACCTCTGCCATTCCCGTAGGCAGAGGTGCTGGGCGGAGATATGCCAGCATCCCGGCCAGTTTGCACAAATACCGGTTAAGGAGGTTGCAGTTCTTGACCCGCCGTTGAGGCGAATTCATGTCAGCACTCCTTCCGTCAATCACCACTCAATGTAATTTGAACCTCGGGGCAACTTGCCGGAACGGAGTTCCAATTCGTTCTCTCGAAGGTTTTGGGGAAACCCCCGCCCGCGCCCGCGCATAACCTGGGATGGCGTTCTGGGGACCCGCGCAGGCGCATCACCTGGAGCGGAGTTCCAGTGATCCTCGGCCAAGCCACAGCCTGGAGGCTGCTGCGTGGGTCCTTTCCCCCAGCATGTCTGTAGTCTGCTTTACAGGGCTTCTGAGACTTCTGTGCACATGAGCGCCCACCCTTTACAGCATTCGTGCAGGCCGCTACGAGAGACCTTGTGCAAGACATGCCTCGGCTCCTCCGCATTCGAAGACCCTCTTTCCCAGTTTATCCTCTCTCCTCTCTTCTTCCTCCTTGCTGCTCTATCCCGCCTCCCGTAGGGTTGCACCATTCCCGCTCGCATTGCAGACATTGCATTCTGCACGGTGTGTCTCCATGCTGCCAGGCGCGTAGCTTTGCAGAAATGCGAGATGGCAGTGGGATACACCCGCACATAGCAGGGGGGCCCATTGCAGTTCGCACCGCAGGCATTGCTTGCTGCATGTTGCTCCAGACCAGCAAGGTTTTAATTAATAAAACCCAATGCGTTGCCAACGTCGCCTAAGAGGGCCCAAGGGCAGCCCGAGGGGGCCCCAGGATGCCTCCAAGAGAATCACATTATCTTTGTGTCTTCCGGCCTTATTGGGGGGGGGCGTCGTGGAACCCTCTTGGAGCGTCTGGGGGGCCGTTCTGGCCCGTCGGGACCCTTGCGTGGAGCTCTTGGAGCCATTTGCGTATTGCTCAGTTACTCGCCATCCTGCTTAGGTCCATGCTGCAGGTTTAGAAAGATTTGTTCATTGCGCCTACGAATACAGGTAGGCGCGCCAGGCGAGAGGCACGAGGCCCTGTAGGTCAACCCGTGCTTCGCGGTACGGAGGCGTATACAGCGGCTGGGCCTTGCAGTTGTAGCCTTCAGATCGGGTGGGATTCCCTGCCGCGGAGAGCTACGCTGCAGAGTTGGGCCCCCATCGCCTTGCAATTGTATGGAGGGACGGGGGGTGGGCTTGGCAGGGCGATCCGGTGGGGGGGGGAGAGTGTGGTGGGGGAGGGGGCGGGGACGTGGTCGGTACGGGGGCCGCCCGCCTGTCCATCTTTGACAGGCAGCAGGAACAATTTCGTGCCCCTTTGGCGCATCGGCTGATGGAGGTGGGAGGAGGTCCACGAGAGGAGGAGGTGGGTGGAGGAGAAGGAGGTGGCGCGATCGGCGCCCCAGCTTGTTCGCCTGCTCTCTGGCCGAATGATCGCACGGATTTTTTTCGGGCGGCTGAGGACCAACGTTTACAGCCTCTGGCGAGGCAGGGCCACAGCCCTGTTTTATGCAAGGAGCGACCTCGATGGTCGCCCGAACAGCACGAGTGTACCGCAGATTTCTCAAGGCTGCTTGTGCGCGGCCTTCTGCGCCTGCCTGCTCAAGTTGATGTAATGTGAATCTATATATATATGTATATATATACACAATACTGCAGTGGCGCTTCGCGCCATGCACCTTGGTCCTTGAAGTTTCGAATGCAGGCGGAATAACAGGAAGGTCAAGCCGACAATTTAGCGATAACTCCTTGTTGCCTCTTGCGGCATCGCCGCTATGATAATGTTATTCGTTATCCTTCCTCCACGTTTCTTTTTCATCATGTTCGCCATACCCTGCGCATTCTCCCCATTCTCCTCAGCTCTTTTTTGCGGAGGCTCCTCCTTGGAGAGCCTCTGGGGGCCTCACAAAAGTTGTTTCAGGCTTTCTTAAGCCTTCTGGAGGCCTCCTGGGCGTATTCTGGTGGCCTCTGGGGGCTTCCTCGGGCCACCCTGCCTCCAACCGCGGTCTCCCTGAATGACAGGGTCACGATTTGGAATGCCTTGGAGGGTGTCTTGGGGCCATCTTGGGCCGCCATGGGGCTCTCTGAGGACCTTCTTGGACGCGTGTTGTGCCGTTTTTGGGCTCTCTTGGATTGCCTGGCAGCCGTTTCGGATGGTTGTGGGGCGATTTTGGAGCCTCCCAGGCGGCTTCGGACGCCCAGAAGACCGCCGTCTTGGAGCGTCGGGAAGCCGAAAAGAGGAGAACGCCCAAATTCACCAAAAACCAACAGAACATCAATGATTGTTTCCTCTTGGGGCCTTCTTGGGAGTGCTCTTGGATGCTTCTTTGGGCCGTCCTGGAGGCCTCTTGGGCCATCTTGAGGTCACGTCGGTCACTCTTGGAGCGCTCTTGTGCTGTCTTGGGGGTCTCTGGGACGTCTCCGATGACCCCGCTGATCGCCCTAGGTGTGCTGGGAAGGCTTGGCAAAACGCCCTGCGAGGCTCGGGGGGCCGCTTCGAGGCCCGTCCGGAGGGTCCCAAAGCCCCAGATCCCAGGTGTCTGATTTTTTTTGGGGGGTGGGTGGGAGGGGTTCCCCCCGCCTGGGCTTGTAAAAATATAGGATCAGGAATATATATATATATATATATACACATATATGTATATATGTGTATGTATATATATATATATATATATATATATATATTTGTATATGTATATATATATGTACATATATATATATACACCTATATATATACACAGATGTATATATAGGTGTGTGTATATGGTTTTACAAAAGTACACCAGTGACACGGCGTGCGATGGACTGGCACGGAGACGACCAGAGCAAATTGATCGCCGGTCACGGTCCACCTCTTGCTCTTCCTCCTCCTCCTCCTCCTCCTCCTCCCTCCTCGTCCTCCTCCGCCTCCTCCTCTTCCTCCTCGTCCTCCTCTCCCTCCTCCTCCTCTTCCTCCTCGTCCTCCTCGTCCTCGTCCTCCTCCCTCCTTCCTCCTCCTCCTCCTCCTCCTCCTCCTCCTCGGTTTCTCTTTCTCCATGGCGCGCTCGGGAGGCGCTGGCTCCGCACCCGCACCTCGTTTTGGGGGGGCCTGGTCGACCACGGGCCCATGCTCGGCTGACGTGCCGTCGTTGCCGGCGCAGGTCCAGGCGGGCACTCCTTGACATCTGGCGTTCCCAGACCCCCTCGCGTCGTGACAAAAATCACGACGGGAGGTTCTGCGCTATTTTCGCCCTCTGGAGGTCCTTCCCGGGCCTCGGGACCGTCAAAAAACGACTCAGGATGAGAAGCCGGTCCCAGGGAAGGGGTCCAGACCTCTGGGGGTCGACGTTGTGAAAAAATCACGACGTCCGGGGTCTGGGTTGTGGGAAATCACACCCCGATCTCCCCCGAGATCCGACGCGCCATGGAGATTGGAGCAGGCTGTCTTTGGCCATTTTCGGTCTCCGGGAGCCTTCGCCGGGTCTCGGGAGCGTCAGCAGGACGACTCAGGACGAAATCGCGGTCCCAAGGAAGTGGTCTGGACCTCTGGGGCCCATGCATCGAACAATTGGAGCCGCTGGATGTCTGGGTTCCTTGACAGCCGGCGTTGTGGGAAATAACACTTCGACCTCTTGGCCCTAATTACATTCGAAAAGGCGACTGCGGTTCGGTCGGTTTGGCTACGTGGTCTCCGGTAGCGCTCGGTCCGGTCGGATTCGATCGGTTGGTGGGTCGTTGCTGCTTCGCTGCGTTCTTGTACGGTTTCTGGCACGGTCAGTTTTCGGTCGTATCGTCGCCTCAGGCGGTTCCCGAGCCTGATCGACCCTCGGTGATGGTCCAGGCGCCCGAGGTCGAGCCAACAGGTGCCCCAGACACCCGGCTGCTCCCTTTTCTTCGAGGCGTGGGCCCCGGAGGTCCGGACCTCTTGCCCGGGACCGGCTTTTCGTCCCGAGCCGTTCTTTGACGCTCCCGAGGCCCGGCGAGGCCCCCCGGAGGCCGAAAATGGCCAAAAGCCGCCGGCTCCAATTTTTTTCTGGAGAGCGCTGGATCTCAGGGTCGTTTGGTCAGCTTCTGCTGCGGCGCCCTGGTGGGAAGGCAAGGCGTCCCCCGAGCGTGCTCCGCATTGCCCCTGAGGCCCCCCTAGAGGTCGTCGGAGGTCTCCGGAGGCCCAGGCGCCTCCTGAAGCTCTGAGGCTCGAGGCTGGAGCCTCGGTCCTCGAGCCTCGATGCTCGAACCTGCGATCCTCGAGCCTCGATCCTCGAGCCTCGATCCTCGGGCCTCGATCTTCGAGCCTCGAGCCTCGAGCCTCGAGCCTCGATCGTCGAGCCTCCATCCTCGATCCTAGAGCCTCGATCCTAGAATTCGTCGAAGTCGTCGAAGAGGGCGTCGGCCACAACCCGCACGGAAAACTGCCCAAGGAAACCACCCTGGTTGCATGGCCTCCAGGGCGACCTGCAGAGAGTTGGCGGCGATGGATGAATGGACAGCGGCTGCCGTGCCTCTGCGCGGCTGCCGCTGCTGCTTCTGGCGCCCGCTCCCATGGGGCCAGGGTGTTCAGATGCGGTGTCTTGGTCTTCGGCTTCCCCCCAAGGGCGCTGTTCAGGAGGAGGAGGAGGAGGAGGAGGAGGAGGAGGAGGAGGAGGAGGAGGAGGAGGAGGAGGAGCAGCACAGGAGGAGGAGGAGGAGGAGGAGGAGGAGGAGGAGAGGAGGAGGAAAGGAGGAGGGAGGAGGAGGAGGAGGAAGGAGGAGGAGGAGGAGGAGGAGGAGGAGAGGAGAGGAGGAGGAGGAGGAGGAAGAGGAGGAGGAGGAGGAGGAGGAGGAGGAGGAGGGAGGAGGAGGCGGAGGAGGAGGAGGGAGGCGGAGCGGAGGCGGAGGCGGAGGCGGAGGCGGAGGAGGAGGAGGAGGAGGAGGAGGAGGAGGAGGAGGAGGAGGAGGAGGAGGAGGAGGAGGAGGAGGCGGAGGCGGAGGAGGAGGAGGTGGAGGAGGAGGAGGAGGAGGAGGAGGAGCGCCACGACGCCGGCTGCGCCGTGCTGGCGGCCTGGTGTGAGGAAATGGGCTGCACGGTGCACCAGGAGATGGTGTTGCCGCACGCCGCAGCCAGCCGGCCCGAGGCCCGAATGGAC